ATAGTTGAGACATTTTTATACTTCAAAATGAACCTAGTAGTTGCATACAGGTGAAATTTTAAAATTTTCCAAAGTACTATAATCCTAAAAATCAAAATGAATGATTGCCAGAAAAGATTCATTGGAAGAAATTTTAAAGTGAAATCAGACCATATTGTTTCCAAATTCAGATGAGAACTTACTATTAAAAATCTCACACAGATTGGAAATGACTAATCAACATTAGGAAAATGAAATTTGAAGATCTGCCCTCGTATTATTCATGGCTAAAAATGTTTTTGTGTCCAATTGTAGCAGTGTTATTTCAGTGTAAAAGTTTCAGTGATTAGACTTGTTGGATCGGAAAAAAATATCATGTAATTATCTAGTCTGTGCAGGATGATCTTGGGCAAATCTCTTGATTTCTGTCAGTCTCTGCTTTTAGTAGCAAACTTACTTAAGTCTTAACGTCTGTCACATAGGAGAGGCATGAAAGTGTGGTACTAGGTATACTGTAGAAAGACAGCAATGTATAATAATAGAATTAAACTAGGATTTTTTGTATGGGTTGATCACTTCATCAGGTATATAAATGTCTAATCAATATGTTGTACACCTGAAACTCGTATAATATATGTCAACTATAATTGAAAAATGTTTTTAAAAATGATGCAAAGTTCTCATATCTATCTTCATAATAAGAAAAAATATTTTTCAAAGAATATATATATATATATATATATATTTTATTTCAGTGCAATTTTATAATTTCAGTGGGGGAGTATTATGAGATGAAGTAGAAAGAGCACAGGAGGTAGGTTTTAGTATTAGCTTTGCCCTCAACTAGCTATCAGCTACCCTCCTCGGGCCATGGTCTCCTCATAAGTAAGATGAGGGGGTGGAATAAATAGTCTGTTATATCTTTTTGAGCTCTGAAATTCTGTCTGTACCTTGTCCATATCAGATCCACAACTATAGCTCAACTATGCAAGTGTGACTCATCCTGGTAGAACCCAGTCGTTTCTGTGGTATTTAGAAGACCATTGGGAATAAAATGTCATTTAATTGTATTTGCTTAAAAGAGCTAACCTAAAATAATAAATGTCCATTTTCCTATTTCATATGTAAAGGAGAGCTGATCAACAAATAAAAATGTGATACTATAGAGTTAGTTATATGACATTATTAATTACAGATCACTATTAGTGTTCTGGAAAAGTTCTCTTCATTAATGTATTTGTAATATTAGGACTACATTAATGTTAGATGACTCAAAAGTTGGACACATTACAATTGTTTTACATGGTTCTATGGTAATAAGTTTTATATCTTGAAGAACATATCTGAATTCATAAGCACAAATGAGTGTTGCTATGTTTATCATAATTACATAATTACATAATTACATGAAAGGTCCCAGGTTCGATTCTGGTCAAGGGCATGTACCTTGGTTGCAGGCACATCCCCAGGTGGGGATGTGCAGGAGGCAGCTGATGGATAGTTCTCTCTCATCAATGTTTCTCTCATCTCTCTCCCTAATTCTCTGTTAAAAAAAATTAATAAAAAATATATTTTTTATATCAGGCACCTACTATATAGTACACTGAATCTACTGTATTTAATTGGTGGCAGAATTAGAGAATTATAGTTATGAATCCACTCTTTTAAATGCTAGTTTATTTTAAAAAAAAATCATCTTCATTTCTATTCTGAGCCTCAACTATCTGTGCTGAGAAACCATCAGGTTTTTTTCTTTTTAATATTTTATTGATTTTTTACAGAGAGGAGGGGAGAGGGATAGAGAGTTAGAAACATCGATGAGAGAGAAACATCGACCAGCTGCCTCTTGCACACCCCCTATTGGGGATGTGCCCGCAACCAATGTACATGCCCTTGCCCTTGACTGGAATCAAACCTGGGACCCTTCAGTCTGCAGACCAACGCTCTATCCACTGAGCCAAACCAGTTTCGATTTGTTTCATCAAACATCAGTTTCAATTATTTCTTCTCTCCCCCTTCACTCACACACACACACACACACACACCATCCAGAACTATGCAGAAGCCCTGTATCTTGTCACTAGCCAATTACCACCCTTAGTTTTCCCTAAGATGCCTTTTGTTCTAACCTTTGCAGATCCTATCAAAAAGGGTCATGGAAATCTCTGGTAGTACTGGGTCCATACTCAGTTCATTATCCAGCCAGCTGCTTAAACAGGGTACATTTTATCCCCATTTCTTAGATAAATCAATTGAAACTCAGAGAGTTAAAATAATTTGATCAGAGTCATACAGGTGATAAGTGAAATTGCCAGAGTAAACTGTTGGTATCAAATATGGGTTTGGCTTTTTAGCTAAATTATATCAGGTAATTTCAAATAAGGAGTTTTATATGTGTTTGGCACATAAGATATGCTTCTAAACATATGTATAGATGAGACACAGAGAATTATTTTGAAACATTCAAATTTATTATGAAAAATAATTATGAAAAATAATTTGCCCAGTCTTCTTATTTTATTAACAACTTGTACAGATTTAAAAAAAAATAGTCTTATGTCAAGTTAATGACCAAAAAAAAGAGAAAACAAATTGGTTCCCCTTTCAGTTGTAATGCTGAATGTAATGTACAATGAACAATGTATATTACAATTTTTAAAATGAAAATTGATGGCTCCAGTCACCTGTTAACCCAAGGCGTATGATGGGGTTCACTTGTAGTTTCATAAATCCCTATTTGTCTCCCACTTTTTGTTTTGTGTTACACTTGACTGGAAATAATAGATTTTTTTTTCCTACAGAAACATCCTTGATTGTTAGTATATCTCCAAGGGCATAATCATGATATATTAAAAATAATCATGTAAATTATAATCATCTCACATTTTCCAGAAAATTCTTAATGATGAGGATTTTTCCTTTTAAATATTGATTGGGATTTTTCCTGGCTTGAGATAAAGAAATCATATGCAAATTATTTTATTTGATATACTCTTAGTTTAAATCCAGACTTAAAGTAAGACTTGATATTGGGCCATAGCAAGAAAATAGTTTGCAGTTTTGCCTGGGAAGTTATTTATTTAATTTAGACTAAACTCCGACCAAATTTACAAGTGGGATAAAGTATGGTGGGAGATTTTTATCTACTTTTAGATGCATAAAGCAAGTATACAAAATGGGAAGGGAAATTATTTGATTTTTATATTTAAATGTGTAATCCTAACAACCATATAAATAATAAGACTTAGGATTGGCTTAAACTTACTTTTTAAGATTATGAAAATGGGTGTCACCGTGACTTTTGTGCTCACAGTAATAGAAGTGCAAGGTTGTTACATTAACACATTTATGTTAAAAGGCAGTGCTTGTACATTTTTACCACATGAACATCACTTATTTTACATCCCTCCTCTTCTCAATTTTGATCAGAAGATTTCTTCCACCTTATTCTTCAAATAGAAGTCTATAACTTTTCTGAGGATTTGATCAGAGGCTGGGACTCAGCATGGTAGCTAGTATCAAAAATTCAAAGCCTAATTATTCCTTATTCCTTGTTTCTGACCACTCTCCCTAAAATAAGTTATAGCATTCAGGGCAGGGAAATACTCAAATCTATTACAAGAATTTCTCTTCTTGGACTTTAAAAAAGTTATATGTTTTAAATATTTTTACCAGTCTGGTTTATAGTATCTGTATTTGTCATTGTTTTTATTTTCACAATATTAGTGAAGCTTATTGAAAAGGCACGTTAATCTGAGAGTATAACTTTGAGGGGATGTGCTGACAGTCTCTTTACTTCCAAATCAGCCATATCCAACTAACTTGTTCATTCATATGTTTCTTATGGTTCAGGTCTTGTTTTTACTTACCTCTGACCCATTTTCTTTAATTTTTTAATAATATATTTTTATTGATTTCAGAGAGGAAGAGAGAGAGAGATAGAAACATCAATGATTAGAGAGAATAATTGATCAGCTGCCTCCTGCATGCCCTGCACTGGGGATCAAGCCTGCAACCCAGTGCCCTGACCAGGAATCTCGAACCATGACCTCCTGGTTCATGTGCGCTGACCAGGAATCTCGAACCATGACCTCCTGGTTCATGGGTCGATGCTCAACCATTGAGCTGCGCTGGCCAGACTAACCCATACTCTTTATGGCTATGTCAAGTAAAATAGTCAAGGAGTAGATTCAGATCCAATTAACTTTATTTTGTAACTAGAATGATCCTAGCATTCAAAGATATACACTCCATACTTTATGTCCTATTGTCCTGAGAAAATTATTACTGGCATGTCTTTCAGCCTCAAAAAAATCTTGATATAGAAGAGAAATTGTGTGTCACTTTACAAATGAGTTAGATATTGCTGATATCTTTTATCTAAACCCCTTTCTTTCTAATTCCTGGGGAAATCTAAAGGCACTGCAAATATATATATATAGCTGCTTAGTGGCAAACCTAGAATTTACCCCAAGCATTTTGACTTAAGCTTTGGGTTTTTTTCCAAATCATATTTGTTAATTTGTCAATTTTACAGGTTAGATTTTTAAATATTTGTTCTATAATCATACTCTTACTTTATTATTGAATATCTTTATGTTTAATATAAGACATTTAGAGAAATTAAGAAAAAGTGGACCACACTAATTGTAGGGAATCTCCAAATGATGAGACAGTGTTGGAAATATCATTACCAGCCAGGTGTTGGAAAGCATTAAGCTGGCAGCACAGAGCACTGGCCAGTTTGACCTTATGGAGAGAAATGTAAATTTGTCATGAATCGGCCAGCCTGTGCCAGAGATTATCATTTTACTGATTCTCTGACCAGTTCTTTTGGACTGATCACTCACGTTTGATCCAGATCTCTTGTATAACAAATTAAACTCTGGGCAAAATTATAATTGTGTTTGTATTTGCTATCAATTCTGAAAATTGTTATATGCTTTTAGAAATTAAGGTATCTAACAAGAATACATTTTACTCAAGCTAAGTAGTAAATTTTCTTTTTCTGTGTTGGTTAGATTTTTCTAGATATGACATTTGGTTCAGGAGGACACACAAGAGCCATTCTGCAGAAAGAGCCAGATATTACTCTGTATGCTTTAGACAGAGACCCGACAGCTTATGCAATAGCTGAGCAACTTTCAGAATTGTATCCGTAAGTATTACTCTTGTATGATTATTTAATTTGAGAGCTAAGGTTTACAGAGCTTGGTTTACCACCTTGGAATTTCTTCTCCCTTGTATGATGTTATACTTCATCCCACTAAATCAAGGATGGGGAACATCAGGCCAACAAGCCTTATCATTTAGTCTGGCCCTGCCAAGACATTATGGGCAAGTTAATTGAATGTTTGACCAAATATAGAAGGCTAATTTTTAAGTTGACAATGCTGTATGACCCAACAAGGATGTTATAAATATTCAAATGGCCATTGGCAGGAAAAAGGTTCTCCACCTCTGTAGTATTTCCTTTATTCCCCCAAAGAATTATTGTAAATTATGTTTCTAGTAACACTTAAAATAATGATATTATGCCTTATTTCTGAATTAATAAGAATAAATACAACAGTGACTTTTGGATAAAATTTGATTATGTGCTGAAATCCATCCATGAATAATATTTTGACAACTCATAGTTTAAAAAGTAATTTTATGAGTTAAAATTTCTAAGAATTTAGTGGTGTAAATAAGCATGTGATAATTCTGCAAAATTCATTAGGCTACATACATTAATATAATGCAGTTGTTTTTCTGAATGCAATTTGAAATTCATAGGTAAATTTAGAGTTTTCTGTTACTCTGTCAGAATTAGTGAGTTTTCACTATAGAATTTTTTAAAAATATAAAATATTGTTTATGAGTGGTAAAACCATTTTCCTTTAGAACAAAATTTAGAATTAGTGTTATGTACTTATGCTATGCTGTTTAAAGGCCACCAACCTGAAAAACAAAACTATCTTGAAGTTAAAATGACCATCTCCAAATACTATCTAAAGGACCATTATCAGGAATAGGGAATTGTTCTATTGTCTTATGCTCTAGAGATTGGAGTAAAGAGAAATGGAATCATCAAACAGACTATGAAACCTCAGAGGAAATGCAGGGGTGGGTGGGTGGGAAGAGATCAACCAATGAATTTATATACATAACCCATGGATACAGACAATAGGGTGGTGAAAGCCTGGAGTGGGAGGGTATTGTGGCTGGAAGAGGTCAATGGAGGGAAAAAGGGGACATATGTAATATTTTCAACGATAAAGATTAATAAAAAGAAAGAAAGATAAAGAAGAAAATTGATGAGGATATCAAAGGTAAGTTTTGATCTGATGTAAACTAGAGTTTTTAGGAGTTGTAGCTCTGAACAATGAACAGGTCTCTGGTGAAAGAACATAAGTATCAGCATGGAAAGCTTAATCACAGACTAAGGGTAAAAATTAGCTTATTATTTTAGAATAATCTTTTCAACGTTTTTCAGGTCTCAAACACTTTGCAAGTCTATTAGTGTGATATATTCTCCCAATTAATATGTAATATATATATATATATATATATATATATATATATTGTTTGCAAGATCACATCTGGTTATTTTAATCTCAGATTATTTTCTTTTAAGAAACAGATGAGGAAGTGGTTTAATGGCATGGTGCTTTTTATTTTCTTTCTTTTAATATATATATATATATATATATATATATATATATATATATATATATATTATTGATTTTTTACAGAGAGGAAGAGAGAAGGACAGAGAGATAGAAACATTTATGAGAGAGAATCATCGATCAGCTGACTCTTGCACATCCCCTACTGGGGATGTGCCCGCAACCAACGTACATGCCCTTGAATGGAATCGAACCTGGGACCCTTCCGTCCACAGGCTGACGCTCTATCCACTGAGCCAAACTGGTTAGGGAAGATGCACCTTCTTTAAGACTATCTTATAGTAGGGCATTCATGTTTGTGAAATATCTAGGAGTCTGACTGTTCGAATGTTTGACCAGTCACTATGACACACACTGACCATTATAGGGGGCAGAATCTCTGACTGGTAGGTTAGTTTGTTGCTGGGGTCTGGCTGATAGGAATTGGGCTAGATGGACCGGACATTTAAAATGATGATATCATGCATTTATTATTTCTGAATTAAGAAATGAGTGTAGTTCTCCATTGTATTTCACTGTCAGATAAAAAGAATTTTTATTTATTCCAAAGTCTCTCCCCTCCCCTGATCATGCACTGATGAGGTTCCTCAGCCTGGCCTGCACCCTCTCACAATCTGTGACCTCTCTGGGGATATTGGAGAGCCAGTTTCAGCCCGATCCCTGTAGGTCAAGCCGAGGAAGCTCACTGGTGCATAAATCGGTGCACTGGGCCTTTAGTATTGTTATAACTAACTATATGTTGTGTCAGATGGGTACTTGAATTACTGGTATGATCACTTTGTAAATTATATAATTGTCTAACCACTTATTGTACACCTGAAACTAATATAATATTAAAAATTTTAAATAAAAAAAGTAAAAAGTAATTTTCAGATAGAGTCAAAATATATTTTAAAAAATGAAAATAAAAGCCCCAAAGAAAATTGATTAGGTTCTATACACAATCTGAGAGTAAGAAACTTTAAATCAATATTAGAAATTATAAATATGTGAAAATAAATAAAATATCTAACTATATAATATTTTAAAAATATGACAAAAGTAATATTGCAAAATATCCATAAGATACTAGTAATTAGGAAAACAAATGTTTGTCATTTAGGAAAGCATGTCAGACTTGCAGCCCATAACAAATATTTTTTTGCGGCCCAGCAAAAGAACGGTATGTAAGAAATGTTTTAATAAAAATTTCATAACTTTTACAATATCCTATTATGCATAATTATTAAGAATGAACTATGATGTTTGCTGATGACTGATTTCTATAATCATGTTGCATTCATTTCCCATACATTTCTCTCCACTAGTACTAGAACAAATATTTTAGCAGGAGATTGCCAAATCATTAATCTTGGACTGACTTGTTTGGTGTGTGCAATAGGAAGTATGTCACTTTTGGAGATAAAGAAAAATAGACTTATTTGCATTATGCTTATGAATATGTGCAGTTATTCAGTGTCTTATAAGTTAATGTTCAAGAAAATATATTTTTATTAAAATGTTATATTATGTTAATGATTACTCACTTATTTCAGCCCTTTGTATTCAGCATGTCCTTATCAAAATAAACCTATGTTTCTGTGAAAATAGAAACTTTTGTTTTTTTGCAGCCCACATAAACTTAAACCTTGTTTATTTGGCCCATGTTAGCCTTTGAGTTTGACATGCTTGATTTAGGGGATAGATAATGTTGGAAAGGAATAATATAGTTTTCCTATACTCTGCAACAAAAGACAGATTAAGATGAGAATAGCATTTTAAGTTATTTAAAGAGTTGCACCTGATAAGAGAGCCTTCATAAAGAAATGAAGATTGCAAGATATGTTTAAACTTCAGCATTTATAATATTAGGTTTGATGAAGAGTGGGAAGTTATGGAAAATTATGCAGGACAAAAGGTACATGCTAAGTGTGTAGTACACTGAGGGAAATATAGCAAGCCACATTAATTCAGATTTCTTTCCATCCCTTCATCTTCAGAGATAAGGAGACTTCTTTTCTCTGGGCACAGGGAGAGCGTCTCTCACATGATGGTTGACCTATTTCAGGGAAAGATATAAAATTCTTCCTGTATGTGCTGTTTCTCAAATTCCTTCAGTTTAATATATTCAGTGTGCCAAGATGCCATATTTTGATGTAGTGTATCCTGAACCCCATCAATATTATTAGGTAAGAATCCTTTCAAAATTGAAAAGACAACAAAATTCAATTTGAAAAAATGGACAAAAAATATAGAAGGGTCACTCACAGAAGATATGGTATAAAAGGATTCTCCACATCAGTAGCAATGATGAGGGAAATGAAATAAAAAATAATGGTATATACAAATATACTTCTCAGACTGGAAGTACATAATTTTAAGAATATGTGGAAAAGAATATATATCCATTCTTTGTTCACATCTTTTAAAATAAAAATAAAATGCATAATCTTCTTAGAATCTATTCCATATAAGTAAAAGAATCAATATCTAAGAAAAAAAATCCTTAAACTTATTACAGACTCTGTATATGCATTGCTTGTATATATGATCATGGAGAAGTTGAAAAAGAAAGAATTTGTGGTAGGGGGAGTGTGGAGGAGAAAACAACGGTTACAAAAATCAAATCTAGATAGGGTATGATCACATATTTGATATATGTGTGAAGTAGAAAATTCCAAGCAATGCTATATATTATTTATGAATATCTACATATGTAGTTATGGTATAAAAATATGCCTGGAAAAGAAAAACACAAATTTAGGCCAGGGATAATTTCTAGGGATATTGAATGGATAGATGGTTGGTTGATTGATTGGAAAAATTCATATGTAATTACAACCTGTAGTAAAGTACACAATAAAGGAAATATTTTGTCATTTCAGTGTGAACATCTTTTGAGGAAATATAGTAATTTCTTTATTTCATTTGTTTATTTTGCTGTTGTCAAGGAAGAACTTATTCTTCTCCAGAAAAATCTTATGTTCTTTACTCTGTCAAAACTTAAGTCAAAAATAGAAACTAACATTTTCACAGAAAACTAAGCAGTTCATAGGAAGGCTGAATTTTAGGCTAACCCATTTTAGCTCTTTCAGAAAAGATGACATGTCAGATCACCTGTTGTTTAAAAATGGAAACTTCTCCCCATTGCCTCTGAAGAATGTACGAGAGGAAACACGTTTAAATTGGAGCAGTGGGGTGCTGGCTGACTTTTACCACTGTGGAAGATGGATGTTAGAAGACAATTTTTAAAAAACAATGTTTCTCCTAAATTAAGAAATAATATATGTTTAGTGAAATTAGAGAATATAGCCACGTATGAAGAAAAAAAGTCATAATTCCATCATTTGACTATAATTTTAAGCAGATTATAAAAATGTAATAAGCTATTATAATATTTTCAATAGTTTATAAAGTAGATATATTCATTGGGGTAATTTTCTAATATCTAGAAAAATATTGAACTCATAATTTCACCAACTTCATCAGTAGTAATGATTTAATGTAT